AGCAGTGGATGTTGTTGGCTTTAATGTTGGTAAGGTTTTTGACCCTGTCTTCCCTAACATCCTCACAGAACAACTCAACCCAGAGGGTTGTAATCAGTGGTACAAGGTCCAGTTGGAGGTCAGTCACTAGCAGTGTACCTCAGGGGTCCATACTGGGACCAGCACTGTTCCACATCTTCATTAATGACCTGCATGATGATGCAGAGTGCGCTCCTGAGAAGTTTGTAGGTGATGAAAAACCTGGGAGGAGTGGCTGATGAGCCAGGGGATTGAGTGCTGCGATTGAGAGAGAGAGAGAGAGAGAGAGAGAGATCTTGGCAGTCTGGACACAGAGAAGGCCCTTAAAGATAAGCTCAGGGAAGTGCCAGTTCCTGTTATCTGGAGGATATTTGAGAGTAAACTCTTGCACCAGTACAGGCTGGAAGCCATCTGATTGGAAGGCAGTTCTGCAGAGATCTTCGGGGACAGCAAGCTGACCATGAACCAACAAAAATATTTTTGTGCCCAGCAGCTTCCTGGGCTGCATTAGGAAGAGTGTTGCCACTAGGTTGAGATCCTTCCCCTCTACTTGGCAGAGGTGAGGCCACATCTGCAGTGTTGTGTGCATTTCTGGGCTCCCCAGTGCAAGAGGGACATGAACTTAGTGGGCTAAGTCCAGTAGAGGCCCCAAAGGTGAGGAAGGTTCTGGAGCATCCTTCCCATGAGGAAGGGCTGAGGGAGCTGGGACTGTCCAGCCTGGAAAAGAGGAGGCTCAAGCATATCTTATCAATGTACATATACGTATCTCACAGGGGTGAAGAACAGGGATACAGATTTTTCTCAATAATGCCCATTGATAAGACAAGAGGCATTGGGCACTTGGAAGTGAATCTGTACACCAGAAATTGCGCTTCTGTTGTGGAGAGCATTGAACACTGGCATGGGTTGCCTGGAGAAGTTGTGGAGTCTCCATCCTTGGAGATAATCAGAACTTAGCTGGACATGGTCCTGGGCAACTGGTTCTACATGCATGTGCTTGAGCAGGGTAAGGGACAAGAAGATGCCAAGAAGTCTGTTCTAACCTAAATGAGACTCTGATTCTATGTGTTCCTTTCTGCCCCTCAAAAAACTAACCAAGATGAGACCCAGGTCATTCTTGAATGTATTGTTGCATTGTGTGGTTTGTGGAGTATGTTGGAAAATGAAGCTCCGAGCTGTATGTCTGTATTAATTACCTAACAGTTAATTTGAAAATTTAACTTGTGGAAGAAGCTGTAGAAGGACAGAGGCACATTTGCCCTTTCACAGAAGTATAGCTTTTGACTCTGTGATTTTATCCCAGGCTTGTCAGTGTGTTTTTCCTAAAAACAACCCACTGTGTTTTTCCATTTTTTAAAAATGCAGAATGTTTCCTTCAGAAACAATTTCTTACCCTTACAGATTTCATCTGTTAAAAAAGAATCAGCATGTTTTCTGATGGAGACTGCTGACTAGAACATCCATTTTGTGTCCCGGCAGATGACCTCTCTAAATTAATCGATCTCAGCTCTAATGAGGTGACCTGTTTAAAATAGCTCTCTGCCGGTGTGTATTTTCATGTCTTTGGCATTTAAACTTTGAAGTGCATCTCTTCCTGGGATTTTTAGAAATTATCTTTTATTTTCTCTTCAGATTTTTCTGAAAAATGCTGCTGCTTCAATCCAGTATTGGAAACCGATTTTGATTTAAATGATTTTAAATATAAGCCCCTTTTTTTGTGGTTGTTTGTAACTGGTTCAGTATTGGATTTCTCAGGGTCAGCACCTAAGGCAGGCTATGCTGTTCGTTCCCCAGCTGGGCAGTGCACAGCTCAATAGCTTTTACTTTGTGCTCTGACCACACAGGGGTGGAGCAGATCGCTGCTTTCCTAGGTCAGTTGTGCAGTTATGTTTTACAGGACAAGGTAAAAAAAAGTCTGTGTCTGATAATTCAGAAAAGCTGCCGTTAAAGGATAATCAGCCCACATAATCCTTTGCATTCTGCTGAATGCTTACGCATTGGATACTACTAAACTGCACACTATTTTCATGGATAGAAAAAGAATTAAAGAATGGTTCAACTTTTATGACACTTTAAAGATGCACTAGCTTTGTATCTTGTGACTGCATGTGTCCACTCACACTGTGTGGTGCTTACATGTTGGTTTAAGAAAATGTATTAGTTGAAGTTAGTTTATGTGCTCCTAAAAACCTATTTAATAATTACGTAGAACAGCTAATGAGGAGAGAGGGAGAAATATAGAAAGGATATTGCTTTCTGAAGATGACTGCTCTTCAGTTCCTGTAGCATGAATTGTAAACTGCTTCCTTAAATTCTTTTCCTTGAAAAATGAGAAAAGAGCAGTTGTCTGCATGTCATTCACTGAAGGTCACTAGTGTGTTGATGACTGTAATAGCAGAGTTGTGTTTTTTTTGGTGACCTTGCACAAGTCCTTAGAATAGGAATAGTAAAGGTAATTAAAATTTTAGTCTTTACAGTGTGCTCATTAAACACAATTGATCCTAATGTTACGTTGTGCTCATCCTCCCTGATGATCAGAAAGGCTTTAATTTAGAGCAGTGCAAATGCTAGTTTAGTGAGCACCCCAAGTGTCCATAGGGTAGCTTGCTCTGACCGTGGATGTTTTTCAGAGTAGCAGAGAGGGGTAATTTCACAGAATATTCTGAGTTGCTTGCTATTTTGTTAGTAACAGTTAAGAGGCAAGGGAAGCCTAACACCTATTTCATCAAGAAAGAAGGAAACAAGGATTTTCTGGCCCTGGGTAAATGTACAATCTTTGGGAGAAAAAGAAAATTCTTAGTATGTAATTTAGTCTGCAGACTGGCAATGGTAATTAGTTTGTTTTCTGATGCTGTTAGCTACTTAAGGCTACGCAGCTGTTTTATGTTCATGTAGAAGGATGTTACCTGCTAGCATGTTCTGTTTCTGTCCTCTTTCTTTCTCACACTTGTGCATACTCACACAAATTTGTGCCCCTTCCCTCCCTCCTGGAGAGCCGCCGATCAGGATATCCTCTGGGAACAGCAGCACCGTTTCCCAGTTGGAGCTGCGTGCATTTAAGCTCACTGATCTCAATGCCATGTGACTGGAAACGCAAGGAGCAGATTGCCATCCGGTGCACACTCTCCAACCCCTCAGATAGCAAAAAAAAAAAAAAAAAAAAAAGGGGGTGGGAGTGAGGAGGGGAGGTTCCCTTGCTTTTTTTGTAGCGCTGTTAATTCCTGCTGGAGCTTGTTTGCCGCAAGCTCGGTTCATGGCAGTAACAGAAGCAGCAGAGCCTCTTCGGTAGCTCAGTGCTCTCAATGAGGTCAAGCTGGATCAAAGGGAAGCCTCCTGTGGAAGCATCTTCTGTAAGTTCTGATACTGCTTTTTCCCTGCTACCTCAAAATAAATCATAGCCTGTATGACTCTGCCAGGCTTCAGTGCTTTATCCCTCCCCAACTGATAATTTTGTGTGAGATTGTCAGGTTTTACGTTAATTGAACTTGTCATTGAGGCATCAGTTGGGTAATAATGCTGTGCATTTTGGGAGAAAAGGGCTTATCTTCTCTCCTTTTATTTTCCGAGGGAGTGGGAAGAAGAAAGTGTGGTTTTGTCCTTTTGAAAAGCTCTAAGTTGTTGAGGTTACAGCTCACCAGTTTCTGTTTTATGTAATCTACATATTCTACTTTCTAAATAAAGCAACTGTGAAGTGTCTTGCAGATGTCATTGGGCTTCACCAAATAGCTTTTATTTTAAGAATAGCTACCTAAACATTTAAGTAATTAAAAAAAGTTCTTTATTCAAATCTTGGAAACCTCCATAGTAACTTAATTTCAAAGAAACTCCCCTTACACAAGCTGCAGTTCACCTGAGGGGTCTCTAATGTGATCATTCAGAAATATTCCTTTGAAACCTGATTCTGGATATTAGCTGGTTTTAGTGAAACTTTTCAGTTGCGTAGGCTTCCACACTGAGATGAAAAATTTCTTGTTTTATGTAATGAGCTAGCTGTTCCTGCAGAAATGCAATTTAGCATGAAAGAATGCTAACTTTTACAGGGAGTATTGTCTCATTTACAGCATGGAATCTTTGGGCAATAATGACATGCTGGGCTGTAATTTTTCATCTACATAACCCAGTTTTTTTTTCCCCTTGAAGTACAAAAAGCTTACTTGAATACATATCTGGAAGGCTTACAGAGTGGTTTCAATGGCTTGAACAAAGTAACTACCACCTGTTTGGATTATTGTTAGTTATACATTGTAAACCCTGAGGAAAAATAAAATATCACAAGTCTTTATCCCTTTTGCTGTAAAGTTCCTCTTGAAGGGACTGGCATGGTGCCTGTCTATTGATATTCAGCTTGTATTTTTGGAAACTCAGCAGCACGGGCGTTGTGCTGTAAGGTGATGAAGTGTTGCAATAGTTATAAAGAGTTATGGCATTGCTCTGCTTCCCAAAATTTAATGTCTTTAGGTTTTTTTCAGAGGTGCGTTCTTTAATTATAGTTGTCTTTTTATCTTCTTTAGTTAATATCTTGACTTTCTTAGGTGTCTGACTTTGAAATTGGATAGAGAAAGGAAAAAACCTGTGAAATCGGGTCATGCAGCATCTATGTATGACATGAATATTTGCTGGGGAGATTTATAGAGCAAACTTGAAGACTCATTTTCAACTGCATATTTCTATTTAATGAAAAGATTACTTGTTACTTACATGTGCTATGAGTTTTATCTGAGTTGACTGCAGTATAAATATGAGAAGAGAATGTGTAAATTAAGATCTCCTACTTAGTACTCTCATTCTGAGGAAAGGATCAAAATGCTTTATGAACCCATCACTGGATTTTTTATTTATTTTGAGTTTGTATCTTTTCTTGGCTTTAACAGAGGCTATCTTCAGTTCTATCAAGACAGCTCCATTTTTAAACATATATAGTGGGGAGAAAATAGCCATTCTGTATCTTTTTGTTCAGATGGTGACGTTTCTTTTCATTTCAGCATTCAGCTTCTGAGTTGATCCTAGTTGAAGATGAAATGACAGATACTGAAGATAATGAAGAGGAGGATTTAGGAGTCATGGATGATCAACGCAGTGTAATTCTCCATCTCATCTCTCAGCTCAAACTTGGCATGGACCTTACCAGGGTATGAGCACTGTATCTCTTTTATATTTGTTTACTGTTTTTTTTTTTTTTCCTCATTCTTCTGTGTGTTTGTGTGCACAGCCGGTTCTTGTGAGTGTGTTTTGCCCCTGTGGACAGCCAAGCTTTCCTGTTTATAAAAGTGTGGTTCCAGAGAGCTATGGAGTGCTGTCTCTTGCTAGGCAGGCTTTCACATGAAGTGACCTCATCAGGTATTTTGTAGATGGAGGGAGAGGGAAAGAAAAAAAAAAAAAGAAGAAACAAAAATCCTCCAACACTCTTGCTTATTTTTTTGCAAGTCTTTCAGAGTAACCATATGTTGTGTATGGAACCCACCAAGTACGTCAGGGTGCACTGGGAGTTTGAGGAAAAAAAATGGCAGTTGTACGGATTAAGGATATACATGTTCTCATAATTGCTTTGTGGATTGGATTCCATTTAATTGCAAGTCAGCTTCAAAAAAACCCATGATGGTAAAGAAATTACAGTCTTCAGTGTATCAATTCTTGTCAGTGTTGAGCAGCTCAGCAGTCTAAACTTCTGTGTATTCTTCTGGTTCTAGAACCAGTATTGTCACAAGCTTGTCCATACTGATACAAGCAAAGAAATTACAGAGGAATTTTCCCTTGAGTCCTCAGAGTTTTGGTAATGAGGTGGATGTTAAGGAAGCAAGGAGTGCTTCTTTTTGGATAGTCTTGTATTCCAGTGAAACCTTCTTGTGGGGCTTAATAAATAATCAAGCAGATTTTGGTAAATATATGGAATATCCTCTCCTTGCACAAGGGTTTTCTGTTTAAAAGAAATCTCCTGTTGTCCACTTTTCACATATGAAAATAAGAGCTCATTCTGACACTCTCCACAAGTGATACAAAATTTGGAAGGACCAGAGAAGTTCTCTGGCACATGGAGTAGTTTTGCAGGAAGTTGTTCTCATGGGCATTTTGATATTCTGAAGAGTTTGTATGCTTTTCTTTTTTTTGCATGTTAATCAAAAACAATAACTTTCTTACAAAATAAAATTTTCTCAATGTAGTTTTTCCTGCTTCCTCTGGAACGATTGCCAGTGTTTTAAAATAATTACATTTTTAAGACTGAGCAATCCTGTGTTCTGTTGCTGAGTAGCTGCACAGAAATGAATGTTTTATTCTAAATAAAATGAAAGTTTCATAATTTCGTCTTGAATAATTTATACTTGTCACTTTTTAGTATGTCTGGGGTTATATACAGTTCATTTTTGTTTTTTTTTTTTTCCTTACATTCTCACTTTTTCTTAGCTCTTCCACTTTTCTGTGTTGGTTTTCTAAGGCTGTCTGATTCTATAATGTTCAAACTAGGCTATGATTTCTTATCTGTGGTTCTTGCATCTTCAGAACAATTTGTCTTTGGCAAAAGACAAGATTTTTCTTTCCTGATTTTCACCGTCATCTTCTTGTCATGGCAGAGTAGGCAAAACCCAAAGACACACAGTTAATGTAAGTAAGAGAAATTCCTGTAAATAAGAGAAGAGTAGACACTTACAAGAAAGATATTAAGGTAAATACATATATGATAATCTGTTTCTTATGTAGTGTTCTTAGAGCACGGTTTTTAAAGATAATGATAAATGTTGAAATGAGAAAAGGAACAGGCATATGGCAGAGTTAGATCTGTTTGTAGTCTGTGTGATGCATGAATACACATATGATAAGTATTAATGAGACATGCCACATGTGCACATCACTTTTCTGCCCATTTTGAGGATTAAAAAAAATACAAGACAGCTGGCTGCTTTTTTTATCAACTTTGCTTACTGACATGAGGCCCTTAGGGCCGCTGACATCTGACAGTAAAGCTGGGTTTGTTGGCTGTGCTTCTTCCCATTTTTCATTATTCCTCTGAAAGTCAGATTTCAGAGCACCTTGATGCTCATCATCTTCTGCTGGAAGTGGTTGCGGCACAGGGGTTGCTAATATTAGAGGATGTTTTTACATGTTTCCATTTCCTGTGCCTTCTTCCCTAGGGCTGTGTCTTTGGTTCATTCTGAGAGCTGTGGATTGCTGCATGATACTCACATGAACAAACAGCTTTTTCTGAGCCTTTGGTGATTTTGGGTTCTGGATGCATGAGCATTACCTTCACATTCCATATCACAGGAAACATCTTATCCTTATGTTAGCCGTGGCCTTGCCTGTGCTGACAGCAGTTTCCCACAGTGAAGATAGCCACATTTAATGTTGTGGAGGTGCTTCACTTCTGGAATGTGTCATACTGCTTTGCCTTTTAGTGAGGAGTTAAGGAGTAAAAACTGCTGTGAAGGAGAACACCTGCAGTGAAGTATTAAATCTGTGTGGGCATTTGCTAGAAGGGGCTAAACTTCATGGTGGCCAAATAGACTTCAACAGCTGCTGGGGAGAGTTGGGTGGGGAGCAGTTCACAGCAGCAGAATGTGGTACACAACTGATGCTTCGGACTGGGATAGGACATTCAGCCTCATTTAAAAATAGAATTGCTGGGGAAAAAAACAAGTTTCTGAATTGTTTGTTCTTCAGACTTTTAGAAAATGAAAAATAGTGCCAAAATCCACTGACAGCCTTTGTTGGCAAATGGCATCTAATGGATTATAGTTACTTTTACAGATGGGTGATCCACTCCCCTGCATTCCCCTACCTTCCTTTACACAATAAATATGTGCTAAAGGTAAAGGGTTGCGATTCTTTGTAAAGGGGCTTCCAGTAATTCTGCAGAATGTCAACCTGTTGTAAATTAACATTGTGATCTGTTCACGATGTCATAAGTTTTTACTTTGCTTGTCAATATTCTTTTACCTTGCAATTTTAAAATGTAAGTGGCATGAAACGTAGCTTATTTTAGTCCCACAGTGACACAGATGACAGTGAAAAGAAAGCTTTTACACCTTTAAGAGAAAGATATCTCAGCATGAAGTACCTTGGCTGGATTTCTGAAAAAACTAGGGAATGATGCTGACACCCATGTTTTTCCTCACAGTAAATAATAGTGGGGATGAATATCTCTATTCTTAAGACATTGTGCTCATTTTTCTCAGTTGCATTCAGATCTAATTAAGTGAATTCAAACCTAGGAGGTTATAATCAAGTTTTCAACCAGTATTGTCTTTTCAACCTCAATGAAAATGGAAGAATGCCTCTTAAACTGCTTTCATTTCATCTGAAGCCTGAGAGAGAGTAAGAATAGATTGTTCTAACATTTTAGCATGCAGTGAGGTGATTTTTTTTCTTCAGACTTCAGCAACTTGGTATTTATTCTAGAGTGTTTCTTTTGTCCAAATGGTTGTCATGCTGGCATTTTCTCAGAGGAAAAAATTAGTCAGTTTTGACTTCATATGCAATTAAAAAAATAATTCATAGTCCTGTCTAAAGCCAGCATAAAGAACATATGTCCTAAGTGTATTTTTCTGGACAGTTCATTCTGTCTGGCTGCAGAAAAGTTAAAAAGCTCATTCCTTTAAAAGCTGGAGTGCTGGCACCAGTGCACAGCAGCCCAAGCTGTTGACAAGAAGCCCAGCTTCTGGACAAGAAGAATTCTGTAAACTTGCAAATTTGTTTATTTCATTTTTCTTATTTCTGCAGAAATCAAGATGGGGCAATTTAAAAAATTGATTGGTGTGTTTTTTTTTTTTTTTTTTTTGCTATATGAATGTGTGGTGGTGTTGCATATTGAAACTTCAAGGCTGTGAGGTTATTTAATAAAAGGCCGTGTTTTGTAGGCATATTTTGTAATACTGCAGTTGTGTAAACTTTAAAAGTCAAATATTTTTATTTCATAGTTCTGCCTCCTTGTGTGGAAACAGTTCAGTTATTCAGTGGATCCTTTCCTGCCACAATTAAGGATGTCATTTCCAGCTTAGTTGGGCTTTTAAAGTGAGATAATTTGAGTTGGAGTTCAGGCCTTACTCAGATTTTAAATTGATTCTTGAAACTCAATAGTTAGAGGCCAGTGATTCATCACATCTCATCTGGTGGCAGTGCTGGTGTAGCTGGGTTTAGCAAAGCACACATCTAGGGCTTAAGGGAGGAGGTACCAAGGCTCTATGACCACAACAATGGGATGAAACCACAGCAGTGTTAGTGTTGTACCATAAAATATGCATCATCTGAAGGATGGTCTGCAGTTTTCTTCTCCTCTGTTTGTGCTAATAAAGGTCACTGTCTTTAGAGGGAGGCTCTTGGCCATAGTGGGATGCAGAGTGCTGTTTATTCAAATGAGTTTGGCCTTTGAAGTCTCTGCAGTGAACTCACAAAGGCACCACTGGTATTTCTAGATAGAAAATATGTGAGATTTTTATATGTTTTGCTTTCACTTTCCCCTCTAGTAACCTGATGTTTTAGTATACAATTTGTATTAAAATGAGATCCTGAATTGAGGATCTCAGCTGCTGAATTGCATTTTTTTTAAAGATTATATTGGATAATGAATATTTGGTCAGAATGAGAATGCTGCAAATAAGATGGAATTGTTTAAAGAGCTAAAAATAAAAATAAAAAAACCCCAAAACCAAACTCTACTGGCTATCCACTTTGCCTTCAAAATTTTGGATTTCACTTTTGAAAACCTATCTCCTCAGCCTGTCATGTCACACCACCAGCACTGTATGCTGTCTTTAGCACTCAGTCTGCCACACACAGTGTAAAATTAAGGTTCTCCATCATTCAGGGCCTCAGTAGGTTGGTAGCAGAAATCATGTGGAGTCCTCAAGGCTTAGAGAGTAGAGTCAGAGGCATATTACAGATGGAACTTTGCTTGATTTATATCTAAACTTGTAAAAATTATTAGCCTATAAAGGACTGTATGTGTAAATATAAAATACAGAAGAGAGCCAATAAGCAGATAAGTTACCAGACACAGGAGTTTTCTCTTTTTGCAGAAGGTACTGTGACTTGCTGTGTAGCTGTAAAGACTCTGTTTGAGCTGCTGTGACTGGAATTCTTGTTCCTGTTTACAAGTTCTCTTTGAGAAGGGCTGAATGATTAATAAAAGTTTGAAAGCTTCTATTTCATTATCCATGGGATCCAAAAGGGCTGATCTGTGCTTTGGTCCCACTTAGAATAGCAAGCTGGACCAGCAGGGGGAAAGCAAATGTGTTTGTGACAAACAGTGGCTCCCTGCCTGCTGTAAATAACCCTTGCTTTTGGGAAAGGGAAAAAAATAAAAATTTAAAGTGAAAATGCAGTGAAAATTTAAAGATGAAAGCAGAAGAATTGCTGTAATAGCTGTTGATTTGCATCTGGCATCATTGAGCCACTTGGATTCACATAAGATAAATTTGTGTGTGCCAGAAGTTCCTTTTGGTCACACGAGAGCAGCCCCTGAGCTCCCCTGCGATGGACCTGCACAGTGTGGGGAGCACGGGGGGAAAGAAGGGAGAGAAATAAATTGTGTCCCTTAGCCCTTGTTTGCCTTGCAGTGCCCTCCAGGATGTTTCACTGGAAACTTCCAACAAAGTGTTATTGTGGAGTGACCTGGCAGCATCTGCATTGCTGGAGAGGGCCCTTGAGACTGTACCCAAATCACTTGGGGCTGGCTCCCTCCTGGGCAGGCTGCCTAGTGCTCAGCCCCAGGTTTTTTTCTGGGCCCACAGAAATAATATGAGATTTTCCCATAATATGAATGTAATGGTTTATGCAGTTTTTGTTTCAACTTGTTTGAAATAAAGTGAAGCCATGCAGTGACATGGTACCATCTGAAACTGAGGGGGTGTGCCATGGGCTTGAGGGAGACAGGCGATCTTAGGGGATGGCAAGGGATTTGACTTGGGATTTGAGGGGAGACATGACATTTGATGACATGCTCGGGCAAATGGGGAGTGCTTTCTTGCCTACAGCCTCTTGGGAAGGCTCCTTGGGATGGAAATAGACTGGAGATTTGGCTATGATTTGGTTGTGGTTGGATCTCCTTGGGTTCGTTTGTTAGAGGCTGGAAGGGACCCAATCCATGGAGAGTGGGTGGTCAGCAGCCCAGGGGTGAAATATGGAGCACAGATGTTTGACAGAAGGGATGGATGTACCCCTTACATTCTCCACCACTTAGAGTTTGGTGACTGGTACGTTCATATAAAATACTCATCTTCTGGTGGTTTGGGAGGGTGTGCCCCTCCCATTTTGGAGGGTTGTGATTAGTCTGGTTTGTTGACGTTTGGTGTACATTAGTTTATATCCAAGTATGTTTTTGTGTCCTGTAAACAAGGAAAACAATGGCTGGTTTGTTAACTGAGAGGAGAGGAAAAAGTGGGTTTCCATGTGTGTGATACAGCCCATGCCTGTTGTGTTGTACAGGGGTGGGCTGTACAGCTGCTCTTGAAAGTCATAATGAAATAGGAAGCAGCCTGCATGGGTATCAAGGCCATTGCTTTTTCCTTCACTCATTATTTACACTGCAAAGAAAATTAAATTGTTGTGGCATGGGAGGGAATATGCTATCCCAAAATTTGGCAGGGTCAGAATTACAGCTGTTCTAACTGTTCCCTCTCCCCCTTTCCCCTCAGTAGTGTGATCACAGGGAAATCATATATGCCTTTGTCTGCTTTGCATACAGGTAGTGCTTCCAACATTTATTTTGGAGAAAAGATCCCTGCTGGAGATGTATGCAAATTTCATGGCCCATCCAGACCTATTTTTGTCAATTGCAGCTGGAGCCACTCCCGAGGAAAGAATTATCTGCTTTGTGGAGTATTATCTAACAGCTTTTCACGAAGGCCGAAAGGGAGCAGTTGCCAAGAAGCCCTATAACCCCATAATTGGTGAAACCTTTCACTGCTCGTGGGACGTGCCTAAAGATAAAGTGAAAGCATTCAGAACTAATGGTGCCTCCACGCTTTCTAAGGACTCAGCCAAGGAGCTGGGCCAGGACCAGTCCACGTGCTACAAGCTGAGGTTTGTAGCCGAGCAAGTGTCTCATCATCCGCCAGTATCTTGCTTTTACTGTGAGTGCAAAGAGAAGAAAATGTGTGTGAACGCTCACGTATGGACCAAAAGCAAGTTCATGGGCATGTCAATAGGTGTTTCTATGGTAGGTGAAGGTAAGAAATGTGCTTTTATTCTGCTTTTTTTGAGCCAGTATTTCTGGGTGTCAACAGAAATCCAAATGTTTTTCCTACTTGCTGTCCCTTCTGACCTTTCATTTGAACCTTACGACTGTTTGCTTTTATGAAGTTTGGAATTAAAACTGTAGGATTCATATAACCTACTGCTGTCCAGACAGAACATGAAATACACATTGCATATATAAATGTGTGATTATATTGATAAGACTCTGTTAATATATATGGCCAGACTTCAGAAATAATTAAGTTATAATAGCTTATGCCAAATTATAGCATATTCTGTGAGAACATTTTTGGTCACTTTTAAAGTAATATGGGATTTGGTGTTCACTATTGGAACAAAGCAATGAGAAGGGACATGTTTTTGCATAAATCTAACATTTGTTTTTCATAGTTTCTGCAAGGAATCATGATTTCTGTAGTGTTTGCAAATTTAGTGTATTTTCATAAGCTTTCTAGAAAGTCACGTGTTAGAGGTGTGAATCCTGATTTTCTGTGTCATACACATGCAGTCTGCATTGTGATAAATCACTGCCCAGCTTGAGTTCAGAAATACAGGAAGTCATAACAAATCCTTAATGGATGATCTGAACTGATGCACACATTTGTACCAGTGTTGACACTGACTGTTAATGCATTGAGATGTGTGTTTCTAAGCAATTTAATCCCTTTGGCCATTTGAGGGTAAGATACTATGGATGAGGGTAAGATGTATAGATTTTAGTGTTTTACCTTAACTAGTTCTTGGACTGTACTCTCAGAACTATGAAGACAACTTGCTTATTTTTGTCACCATTATGTTAAATACTGTGGTATTAAAGGCACTAAAAAAAATGGAGTGGGAAATGCAGTGGTTTGGTTTTGCTTATTAATAGCAACAAAATAACTATGGTGAAAAAATACAGGTCCTTCCCTGATGGCAATATATTCCCTTTTTTAATAGAAGAGGCATGAAACCTCCTTACTACTGGTTTTGATACCCTTGTGATTAAGTCTATGTTAGCACCCGTTTTCTTCTTCCTATGATTTAGGTATTTTGCTTTGAATATGGAGTTAAGGGAGTTGGGAAGGGAGTGTCAGAATGGAAATTGGTCGGTCTGTCTGTCTGTCCCCTGCCTATACTACTGCCAGCCTGAGTCACTGGCTTAACATTCTGCATTTTTCTGGTACATGTTCATTTCTAGTACTCTTTTGCTCAGTGAAGGGAACTATTTAATGGAAATAAAATTAAACACAAAGTCACTTATGATTATGTAGGAGTAGGGAAATTTCTTTCTCTTGCTGCTAGCACACACAAGTTCCCTGGGATTGGGGGTGTCTACTGTGGGGATTATTTAAGACTTCAAAGTCCTGATGTGTCCCAGTTCTGAGAGAGAAAGGGTCTAAGAATTAACTGCTTACTCACCCCAAGGATTGTTTAATGTGTGCTTATGAGAATAACATTCTTCCCTATGCTCTTTCTTTTTTTCATGATCCTGGAGACATCCCAGGAGTGGAGGCGGGCTTTGGGGAACATCTGCAGTAGCAAACTCTTTTATTCCAAGGTTTGCTGCTGTATTTGTGATGTGCATGCTGGGAGGAAGTCTGGGTTCACCAGTTCATAGTTAGTATTCATCTTTTTGTTCATGTAAGCAGTGCAAGAGCAGGAACCTTCACAGTGACAGCATTTCTGAGAAGTGAGGAGACACTTCAGTGCAGCCCAGGCATTTCTGTTGCACGTTGAGGACTGGCAATGGGCAGCAAGAAGTTGTACCACTGAGGCTTTTCTGTCATCTGAAAACAGCAAGCCTAAGCCTGACAGCCTCAGTTTAAAATACCAGTTTTGCAGTGCAGTTCCTTCACTTGAAACTGCACTTTCTTTAATTTTTTTGTTTATTTATTTTAGGTCTAGGGAAGTCTTCCTGATTAAGTTGGTGTGTGGGTTTGTCAAGCTGTGTAAAAATTAGAATCTACTGCAGATGCTTCTTTCTTATGTGCTGCATAAGTATAAATTCTGTAGTAGATTGAGGTCAGTGTGAGTACCAGGCAATATATTGCTGAACTGACAAAAAGGAGCTGTTGGACTAAAAGTGTAGAAAACCTCAGCCTGTATTTATGTGCCTAATAATTTTTGTAATGTGAAATATAATTTGGAGATTTTTCCTTGTGTTTAGGGATGTGTTAGAGTTGCAACATTTCATATGGGGTGGATTAGTCTAGCAAAGTTAGTTGGACTGTGGAAAGATGCTGTTAGTTAGAAGGCACATGAAGCTACTCAAGGTGGGTAGAAACTAAAGTTAGCTCCTTGGAGAAACTTTCACACACCGAGGTTGGCTAGTAAGGTTGTAGAATATTATTTCAATCTTTTAAAAGCAGATTATGTGAGTTTCTGGGGAATGAAGTATCACTGATCCTACTTTTGATGAGAGACAAAGTAACATCTCATGGATCCTCAAAATCTCTGGGTTTTGGTTGTTGCGGGGTTTTTTGCTACTGTCCATTGGATGACCAAACTAATCATGTGCTATTGTTGGCATTTTGTCTTGTCTCTTCTTTTTTTTTTTTTAATTTCCCCTCATTATGTGCATTCAGCCCTTTTTTTTGCCTGTTGCTGGAGTTAAATTACATACATGTGGAGGCCTTTCCCTTTTTGGAAGACCAGAAAGGATTTAAGATGTGGCATCATGTTACTTGAAATACAGTTTCCTTGATGCCTCTAATATATTTGTGCCTGTTTTGAGACTTGGGTTAAATAATTCTGCTGTTGGTTCAATATTAGGTTCGTTATACTACAGATTAAATCAATATTAATTGATATGTTAGAGGGGAAAAACATCCTTCCAGACAGAGTGTTAGAGAACTGTAATTAATGCTTTGGATAATTTAGTGATAGTGAGTGACCATCTTGCTCTAGTCAGATATGTATCCCTACAGTTCTGTCTGACCAGGTTGCACAGAGAAGTTGTGGATGCCCTGTCCTTGGAGGTTTCCAAGGCCAGGTTGGATGGGGCTGTGAGCAGCCTGGTCTAGTGGAAGGTGTCCCTGCTCACAGCAGAGGGTTTGCAACGACATGATTTTTAAGGTCCCTTCCAACACAGGCCATTCTATGATTCTGTGACAATGACCAGAAACTTCATTGTAGCCTAATGTTCAATAAAGCAACTGTGGTGTGTTTTGAAAGTTTGCTCTCTACTGAACAATACAATGTGTCCCTCCAACAGTTCAGTGAAGCTTTTTCTATTTGCAGAAAGAAAATAGTACTGAATTTTTGGACCTATAGTGTGTAAGGAATATGGTAATGTGTCTGTGGAGGCTTTGAATCATATTTTTATAGCAAGTCCTTAGATGTATAGAGCACATTGCTTTTTATGCTTTTTCTTAGAAGCTGACATAGAATATCATGGAAGTACAAAGGTTTATAAAGGAATTTAAAGAATTAGGGGATTTAAGGATGGTATGGTCTTGGCACACAAGGGCTTCAGCTCAGTGTCTCAGTGGTGTCATTTTTTTGTACGTTGCACCTCAAAGTGACTAAGATTTTTTTTCTGTCTGTGGTTTTTGTTTGTTGATTCAAAGTAACTATCAGCTGCAGAGATGCAGAACAATTGGGAGAGCACTGCTGGAAATCCATGTGGGGAGCTGTTTTATATGCTAGCCTTTTTTTCATTTCTGTTTATGAGTGCTCTAAATCTGGCTTGCTAATGAAATCTTGCAACTTTTCTTTGCTGTATGACAAAACCCCCATTCTTCAGAGTAGTCAGCACTGAGTTTCCTCATGAGAAAGCCATCCGGAATAGAAAAGAGGGTATTTTGCATAAAAGAATTTAGGTTGCATACGCAGTCCCTAATTCTGGTTAATGTTAATTATGTACTAATGAAGGAGTGAGGGAGAAGATGAGGCTGTAATGAACAGGGTTGCATTAAGATTTAAATTAGCAAAAGATGAGAAAGTCAATATAAATATTTAATGGTTTTTGCATGGTCCATAGGATCTTTAAAAGGATACTGGTCGTGGGGTAAGGATGCCGTGGTGAGCACACCTTAGTGCCTGCTCCTTTTCTGCTCTTGGATTTTGGTTCAGAGCAGCAAAAGCCAACAAAAAGTGTCATCTTTGATTTATGGGTTAATTTTGTAGAGAGCATAAAGTACATTTAAATGGATTGCTTTGTATTGTCAAGTGGCTAGTTACATCTGATGTTTTCACTTCTGCTATTTTAAATGTTTTAAAAAGTAGTGAGGTATAGGCTTCCAAAATTATTTTGTCTAAATTGAAATCAACTTGAAAAGATCTGATAGCTGGGTAAAAGGTTCAGTGCTCTTTCCAGGGTAAATTTAAAAGAGAGCAATGAATGTTTTTTCCTCTCTTTTTTTTTCCTTCTGTTCAAATACATATACATATATTATGTATTAATAGATGTACAGGTCTATAATTTCTGTTACTGAGAAATGAGTGACTTAAAACTTACCAGTCCCAAAGCTTGATTGCTCCATGCAATTACAGCTACCTAAGATTTTCCCTCAGTCCTCATTTTTGCATTAATATTTTTAGCCCAGTGTTTTTAGAACCATTTTCATATAGCATGGCACTCGTTACTTAATTTAGCAAATCGTTCCAAGCTTTGAAAAATGAGCAGTGCTCAACACAGCTGCCTGGAAGGTTTGAGACAATAGGAGCCCGGTTCTGGCATTTCCTGTTTTCCTTTGGGATCTGGGCAGTTGTGATGCCCAGCACCCCTTTGGGGCTCAGCCCACATGTACCTTGCTCCTCTCTGTGTGTTCTGGGAAACACAGACAGGGTGAAGAGCTGCTTAAATGGTGAAACAGCCCCCGGCCCCTGGTGTCCCACGTGCCATTTGTTGTTCAGATTGATCTCCACGCAGGCAGTGGGAAGCATTAAATCCCACATGTCTCTTCTGCAGCTTATTGATCCAGAGCCTCCTCTGGGGTGTTTTGTCAATATGTGTTACTGGGAAATCAATTCACAAAGCTGCAGCATCAGTGAGGGACATGTAAGAGTCAAACTGGGAGAGTGATACGCCAGGCCCATGGCTTCCTTTAATGCAGGCTGAGGGCTCATGGATAGGGGTGTGACTCTGAATACATTGCTGTAGTCAAAAGGAGGAGTAAATGGTGTTGAGGACATGTCAAGGGGGAATTTCAATATCCTGCAGTGGTTTTTAACAAATTTACCCTTCTCTGTAGCATTTTTTCTTGACAAACCAGGTTACTAAATCCACTGTTCCTCCCAGAGTGCTGGTCTGGTGTACTTCTTCCTTGTGTAATTGTTGCCTATAAATACTTCAGATTTTTTTTTTTTTAAGGAATTGGAATTTTTTGAAAGAACTCTTAGATATGAGAGGGGAAAAAACTAAAAATGGGAGAATATTCTACAGTTTTTCATGTATATTTACTTTATAGCCATTTTCAAACTAAACTTGAATCATCCCTTACAGCAGGGAAGCAAGGGAAGAAAAATAGCCTGTGTATTTTCCAGCAGTTGTTTTTAAAGATCAGTTGCAATGTAATGATTATAACCAGATGTAAAAATAATTGTAAAGTAACTGTTAGCTTTCAGTTAATTGGTTTACAATTTGACACTTGGCTGGGTGGGGAGTTACTTCAAATTGTGGTACCTGTTACAAATGTTGAATCTCAGTGTAATTTTTGGCTTCCTCTCCCCTAAGGGAGCGCAGGTCTCTGTTCAGATTTGCTGGTGCAGCCACAGTGTTTCTGGTGCTTCATTTAAATGAGGCTTTGCATGTGGGCTCTGTGAACAGTGGAATGCAAAACAGTCAGGTTAATACTAAAAGTATTATCAAGTCATGGGTATTTCAGATCAGCCCTTTAATCTCTTTTAGACTGTAATTATGGAGCTGGAGTCATATTTCAAGTGAGATAGTGCTTCATTAAAAAATGTATTTATTCAGGTGTTCAAGGAATTCAGAAAATATGCTACCAGGTGCTAAAAATACTGCCAAGAGAGCTGGGTTCAGTTTTTAATATCTAACCTGCTGTGGTGGTTAAATATTTACATTGAAGGTCACTGCTGCTGTTTGCTCTCCACTTTAAATGTGCTTGGCAGCACTGCAGCTCTGAGCCCCTCCCACCGGACTAGGGAGAAAAAGCTCTTGATCCCATCAGGGGGACAGAGGCAAACCTGTACTGACCCATAAGGAAATTGTGTTTATCATACCAGTTCCCTCTCACGTGAGGAACATCACATACAGTGGTGATCAGAAGAGATTGGGAGAGGTAGGGAGACTTTTTACAAGGGCATGTAGCTGCAGCAAAAGGGGGAATGACTTTAAAATGAAAGAGAGTGGGTTTAGGTTAGATATTAGGAAAAAAATTCTTTAGTGAGTGGGTATTAAGAGGTAGGGAGACTTTTTACAAGGGCATGTAGCTGCAGCAAAAGGGGGAATGACTTTAAAATGAAAGAGAGTGGGTTTAGGTTAGATATTAGGAAAAAAATTCTTTACTGAGTGGGTATTAAAGGGCTGGAACAGGCTGCCCAAAGAAATTGTGGATGCCCCATCCCTGGAAGTGTTCAAGGCCAGGTTGGATGGGCTACTTAGCAGCCTGGTCTGGAGGAAGGTGTCCCTGCCCATGGCAGGGGGGTTGAAACTCGATGATCTTTAAGGTCCCTTCCAACCCAGGCCATTCTGTGATTCTACAAAAATTGTTCTTTATTAACTGAATGGTATTATAGCATCCATTTAATGAGTTTGATAACCAGAATAGTTTTTTGAGTATAAGTTATTCCTGTCTGCATGTCCAGGGTGAGTTAGGTAGTTCAGCCTTCCTGCTTGGATGTCTGTGCAGGTGTGAAGCCGAGGAAGCTCGAGGCAAAATATGTCTGTGTGTTCTGGCTATGTCCTCCTGGCCTTTCCCTGCTGGTGAGGGCTCAGCACGTGACGTGAGGAGCTTGTAGCTTGCCAAGACTAAATGGTTAAAGGTCCTTTTAAGACACGGCTTTTCTGCCTGCTTTTGCACTCCCAGCTCCTTGTGTCAGAGCTGCCAGAGTGGATGTGCTGGCTGTGTCGCTGCTGGGAGGCCGAGGTTGCAGAGGTTCTGAGAACAACTGCATGAAGCTGTTCTGGTTTGCAAATGTTTTCCTGTGAAATAGTTCAGAAGGCAGAAGTGACAAATTGCAGAGTTTCCTGTGCCTGTATTTAGTTTTGTTAGCTGGAGCCAATATTCAAGATCAGGGCTCCCTTAGAGCTCTGTGCTTTTAATTTTGAGTGTGTTTTAATTTAAGTTTGTTTTTTCCATGCAGTGTTAAAGGCATATTTTCATATTGGCAGCAGTAGTGTTATGTTCCTATTTAGTGCTTTTTCATCATTAAATGTGAGATCACTTTGAAAAAGTAGTGTCAGTATTCCCTTAAACAGATAGATTAATCAATACCACTAACAGTGTGCTCTTCCCCTGCCTGCCCCAGGGTGAAGGCAAATGGGCTCCAGCTTATCTTGCTACTAAACAGATACTATTACTGTGTCAAAATAACTTTCCTTTCTTTTATTTCCAAATATTTCTGGGTTCTGAGTTCTTCCTGTGATAGGTTATTTTCAGTCCCTGTTGTGAAAAAATATTTTCAAAGGTGTCATTTTTGCCTTTAGGCAGTTAGTAAATGGGACACAAAAGACTGTAAAACTCTAATAAAAAATACACTGCAGACATTTGGCATGATCTAATTCTGTGTGCGAGGTTTATGGTGCTCTTTTCCTGGTCTTATGTCCTGTTATCCTGAAGATCAAACTACAGATTTTATGGGGATAGAGTTGTACCCTTAGCCTCAGGGGAAGCTGCAAAGGTCTGATCAGGAAAGCAACTTTCTTTGTGCAACTTCCAAGTAATGTTGAAAAACTGCTGCTGTTGTGTGCTGTTTTTAGTTACAGCCTCATGGTGCTGAGGGTGGAGGGACCTTTATAGAAAGAGATAGAATTACCATTTTCTCTGCCTGGTAGAGACAGATATTGGACTTGGTGCTAATAGAGCAGTGGCCCTGCTGGGCACCTCTTTGATTATGCAAGATTTTTTCAAAGCCTGTGTGAGAAACCAGGCATTATGAAATTAAAGAGCAAAGTTAATAGGAAATTTGTAGGTGCCATGTTTTCTTATTGTACCCACAGAGACTTACAGCCTTTCACAGCATCAAGAGGAAATTAGTGGAGGACATGGCTGTTTCTAACTGAATGGAGAAGTGAACAGTCCTTTGGCCATGCCCATATTTTTTCTGGAGGGAGATTATGGTACAACACTGAGAGAGCATCTGAATTTTCAGTATGGCTTTTTAGGTGGACATTCTATGTTTATCCAGCTTTTAACAGTAATACAAAGTAAGGAATCCAGTCAGATTTTCTGAGAAGTTGTTTGGTAGCAGTCAATATATCAGGGTGCTCAGTCAAATGGGATGCTTTTGAAAATGCTTGTTGGAAGAAACTTGTTCTAGAGAGCAGAGTTTCCTAGCAGACAGTGCCCTCCTTCAAGGAGAGCTGCACGTGCTCTCCGTGGATGTGCATTTTGATGGTGGTAATTGGTCAGTGACCATCAGATCTTATCAGTGAACCCTTTATCACCTCACTTTCTCCTCTTCTGCACAGGTGTTCTTCACCTGCTGGAACATGAAGAGGAGTATGTCTTCACCCTGCCCAGTGCCTACGCTCGCTCAATCCTTACCATCCCATGGGTGGAGCTTGGAGGGAAAGTCAACATCAACTGTGCCAGAACAGGCTATTCTGCCACGGTCACCTTCCACACCAAGCCCTTCTATGGAGGGAAGGTCCACAGGTACAGCCATTACTGTCTTACTCTTGTTTACCTGCTGCTGGATTTCAGGGAAAAGGCTCTAGGGCATCTGTTCAGTTCTTCTGTTGCAGTATTTTACAGACAGATAGCTAAAGTTCTATTCCTATTAGTGCTGGAGATGACTTAAAGCTCTAGGGCAGTTTATTGTAGCAATACATATTATGTTGTTTAACTGAATTGGATGTATTTCTCTCATTAAAATAAAGTGAATGGATCTCTCCAGGCTTTGTTGCTTGTAAAAGTGTAAGTGTAGGATCAGAAGAATGTACATGGAAAAGGCCATATTTCTTCTACCCCAGCTGCTGCTTCTGTGTGGGTCTTGCAGATGAACTGGTGTTCCAGGTGGAGCTCCTGAAAAGAGGAGAGAAGCAAAAGTGTCACTGACCATAGTGGTAGCTCCCTACTGGGGACTTTGCCTCTGCACTGAAATTCCAGATGGTGAAAATGTTATTTGTCTTCTTTGGTTCCCCTTTACTAAGGGTGCAAAGAGGCTCTGTGCAGGACAGCCTCCTGTCTTGCTTCCGTGCCCAGGTTGATGTCCTGGTTATTAACATCAGATCCCTTTCTTGTTCTGCTGTGGACTGCTGCAGTGTCCAGAGGAGACTGTGCTTTGCATGGTTACCTCTGTTTTATTTCAGATTTCAGTGTTGTGTTCAGGTAAATGTTTGCATGGGGCTGTTTTGACATGGTTTTTCTTTAAAAGTTGTAGATTAATAATTGGTGCCATCAGGGTGAATAAAAATTTGGGGATGTTGTGCTGTATTACTTTAGTAATTAAAAAATTGAGTTTACACATTACATGGCTTTCTAAAGCACATGTGTGCGTGCTCATGGACACATTCACAGAACTTCTCCCCGCATTTCAGTTTTCCAATCCTACGTGTCTATTTTGCTCACTCTCAGACCAGTTCTTTGACTGGAGAGGTGGCTTTATTCATTGCCTCTCAGCAGCTGAGAAGTGAACTTGCAGAGCTAAAGAAGAAATCAAAGATACCCAAAGTTTTTGACATAGGTCTCTGGCAGCGTTATGTTCCGGCATGAAAGTGTCATGTATTGCAAATGTCACATGGATGTCATGGATTGTTTTTCAGGCTGCTGCGGTAACCATTTGGTCTGGGCTTGAGCTGAGTATCACAATTTTAAGTTGGGTTACTACTGTAGTTAGGTAGAATGTCATCCCAAAGTTGTTGCTGTGTTAGAGGAGCTTTCCTGCGATGAGTCTTTCTTTTTTGGAGGCAGCATCACTACTTTGCCTGAATAATTGATTTGTGGAGCTAGAAGGCTGCTTGCACCCTCAGCAAGGTAGTGCTGTCATGTGCTGGTAATAAATGGTACCAGTTATTTCTGTGGTCTGTTTTTCCTTCCCCCTTGAATCAGGGTTACAGCTGAAGTGAAGCACAATCCAACGAACACCATTGTGTGCAAGGCACAGGGAGAGTGGAATGGCACCCTGGAATTCACTTACAGCAACGGAGACACCAAAGTGATTGACACCACCAAACTGCCTGTTATCAGGAAAAAGATCAGGCCCACAGCAAACCAAGGGCCACTGGAATCAAGGTAAGGGCAGAGGCTTTGCAGTGCTGAACTTTGGGTGGGAACAGAGTGGGGAAGCCAACTGCAGCTCTGAGTGCTGTGGTTCAAAAATTCCTTGCTTCCTACAGCACAAAATCTGGGCACAGAGAGCTCAGGCTGTGTGTTGGTTCCTTGGAGCATAAATTACACTGTAGTGACGAGTACATCAATTTTGTAGATGGGAAAAATGCCTATATTTGTTTTAATGAGCATCTGGAAAATGGTAATGCAGTGTTTTCACCTGCTTCTTGGAGTGATTGCAACATGGGAGGCAAATCAGTCAGTTTGTTGCAAGCAATTCAGAGTGGTATGTATATTGTATGTTGCATATCATTGAAACTGGTGCTTCATGTTTTATATATTTTAGAATATATATTTGTATAAACATATATAAAATGTGAGGCATTATGATATAAAGACACACACACACAGGTCGTTTTGAGGCTCTTGGAACCTACATCATGTGCCTAACTCGGACTAAATACATTAGAAAAAAACCTGTTCTGTATTCACTGTCAATAACTCTTGATGTTTATCTTCAGAAAAATCGATACTTTAATTGAATTTAGGAAGATTTTATTGAAGGTTTTAAAAATATGAGTTAAACTACATTTTATTATCTGTAAATGTCTTTTTATTTTACAAAGGTGTCTTGAGTCATTGTGCAGGGTCAGATACAATTTGTCTACTTTCTAGACCACTTGCTTATCCACAAACTCATTTTTCCCCTGTAGTGTGGAACATAAAGATTGTTGTAAATAAGGAAACCAGTAGCTTTTCAGTGTATTTATTGTGTTTTTTAGATACTAGTCAGCAAATTGCATCCATCCAGTGGCTCTGCAGGATCTGCAGTTTATCACATTGTGAACACAACCTCATTTAAACAGCCCTGGACAGATGTGAAAGCTATGGTTGGTTTCAGACAGAGAGCAGTTTGGATTACATATTAGGAAGAAATTCTTTACTGTGAGGGTGGTGAGGCACTGGAACAGATTGCCCAGAAGGTGTGGATGCCCCATCCCTGGCATTGCTCAAGGCCAGGTTGGATGGGGCTCTGAGCAGCCTGGTCTAGTGGGAGGTGTCCCTGCTCATGGCAGGGAGGGTGCAACTAGAGGATCTTTAAGGTCTCTTCCAACCCAAACCATTCTATGAGGGTTTTTCTCAGTGCTTTTCTGGGCAAAGCTTCTTCTAGGCTGATCTAAGGCACTGTATCTGAGCGTGGAGAGCTGTGTGAGAAGCGTGTAGCTCTGTGCTGGTAAATATTGTAACTGGGAATACAGAGCACAGACTACAGGGGCTCCCTAGAATCAGTTCCTCTGCTAGTGACCTTGTTGGACCACTCAATGCACTTTTGGCTTTTGGCTGACACTCATTTATAATTCAAAAAATTACCTGCAAAAAATGCAGAATTAAACGCCTGCTATTTGGGGGATGGAGGAACATCAGTAAGGAATGTGAACTAGAAATGGTAGAAATAAAACCACCTGCTTTGAGAAAAAAAGCTCAGGTGGTGAAGAGAATATAAACAGAGTCTGCTGAGAAAATTGCACTGCAAAATACTGGGAGCTGAGTGAATCTGAAAATCTGGTCCACAAATGTGATGAATATCCTAGCAGAGTGGTGGTTCCCAAGCTGTGGGACTTGGAAAACCAGCATGGATAGCGTGGCCTCAGCCTGCTGCTCACCAGTCTGGTGTCCAGCAGCAGTGGGCTGTGGCAGAGCTGTTCTCACCCTCCCTTGTGCTCCTTCTCCCTGGCAGGCGCCTGTGGCAGCAGGTCACCAACTCTCTGAAGGAGGGGAACATCGATGCCGCCACGGAGCACAAGCACCGCCTGGAAGAGAGACAGCGAGCAGAGGAGCGGCAGCGAGCGGCGCTCACAACTCCCTGGAAACCCAAATACTTTGCCAAAGAGGTACTTGGAGTTTCTTGGTTTAGACCTTTAGCAAGTTCCTGCACAGGGGACAAGTCAATGTCTGTGGCTTTTGTCATGGGCTAGTGTTGTTATGTACCACTGATTGCTTAAATTTTATTTTTGACAGAGTCTGGCTCTTGAATGAGAGCAGTGGGCTTTTCCATGTCTATGTTGTGAACTTGTTCACTTTTCTTCAGTTAGATTGATTTTGATCTGCATTTTTGGTGCCTAATGTTAGGCAGGTAAAATGATGTGTTTTTTCTGTAAAATCCAGCCCTTACTTCTCAAATTCTGCATACTCACTTCCCCTATAATCTTAGCATACTAAAATGAGGACAATCTAGGGAGATTTATCCAATGTAAGTAAGTATTGACATCCTAAACACAGTCTTGGGTTACATGTGTGTGAAAGGAAACAAATTTTACCAAGTTCATCTTTCCCCTTTCTTGGAGGAAAGGTGAAGGGGAAAGGAGACTGAGGAAATGGTTCCATTAGCTGCTATTTAAGTCAGCATCTCTTGCATCTTCCCATTGCATCTCTTCCCCCTTGTAATTTTTTCCCTCCCCCCTACCTTACTTGTCAATTCTTTAAACACAAAATTTTGAGGTGACAGGGATGACTTCTTGTTTGGTCTTATTTTAGCTTTTGTGTGGACGTACAAATATGGTATTTATAAGTCTTGTTTGTAAACTTTGCTTAATTTTCTTACAGGGTGACGGTTGGCTGTACGTGAATCCTCTCTGGAAGACCCACTGACAGGAGAGAGCAGTTGCCTCGTAACTTTACCTGAAAGGCATTAAAATGATACAGTATGTAACTTCAGGATGTCCTTGGATAGGTCCTGTTCCCAGAAGATCCCCACGGGAAGCTGTGTACTGTGAATGATGCATCTCAAAATAACCAGGAGCTCGAGTTTATTCAGGAGCCATTTTGTGTGTGCAGATCCACAGACACACAGGCACACGTCCCTAAGTACCCACGGTGTGCATGTGTTGTGTGTGTTATTTACACTACATGTAAACAGTACCAACACCAATAGCGACTCAGAGACCTTTTCCTCCAAGTGTTAGGGCACAGAGCCCTGGCTGGCCTCGGCCGGGGTTCCCTGAGTTGTGTGCTTGCAGGATCAGGCCCTGTGCTAGTATTTAAGAAAATACTTTTTTATTAGTACTGGTTAAGGTTTTTCTATTTTTCACTTTTGCCAAAAATGTTTTGCACTTAAAACGTGACGCGTCTCTTAACGGCAGTCGATCTGTCTGAACAGTCAGCGAGTAACTCACTTTGACATAAGAATGATCCACTGGCTGTGCCCGCTCTGGGTTGCCGAGTTCAGGGCGTGTTCCTGTCACTGACGAGTGTGAATTTCCTACCACCCTGTAAGAAGTAGCAACACCTTCTCCAGAATGTTGTTCTTCACACTAACCCGTTGTGTCCTCGCTGCTTTGTCTGTTCATCTCCAGCTGTTCAGTCGATCTCTGGTCACCACCCCGAGCCAGCTGCTCTGGTAACTTTGATCTTGCTGTGTAATGTTCTCTGGCTGCTGTCGTGCCAACACTTCTGGCTTACATGCTCCACTAAATGGGATTGCTTCTGATAAAACATCTGGATGAGTAGAGGTGATATAACTAGCCTTCCCAGATAAATGATTCACTGATGTAAAAGTAACAATTTAGTAAATTATTCCACTGAGACAGTAACTTTATGAATGAAGCAAATGAAATGGGATACAATTTGTTTTGTAGTGTTAAAAAGAAAAATTAAAAACTCCTGTCGCTTGATCTTGCTTTGTAAGGTACCCACTGTGATACTGACAAAGTGGATTCTAGAAGTGTGTTAAGGCTGTGTCGCTTTTTAGTTTGTATTTGTTGGAAATGAAGATATTTTTGAGAGAGCTGGCAGCAAAAGGCATGTGTAAAATGTGCTCAGTGCTTCTTTCCACAGTGTCCCGTAACAAAACCACTGTATTTCTAACACACAGTAGCATGGATGCCCATCTGTAGAGCTGAGTAATTTTGTGCCTTTTGTCTGCTTTGTTCATACACTGACCTATGCTTATACCACAGAGATATCTAGGTCAAAGCACGGCTCACATCTGTCCTTATGTCCTGCATTTTGTTTTTTCAGTAGATGTTAAAATCTCTTGAGCTCAGAAGGCTGAGCGGAGGAGGTGTGTGCACAAGGAAACATTCCATTAGTTGTTCCTTTGGATTTGAACTTCAGAGATCTATTTAAGGAAGGTGTGGCTACTTTTCCTCCTAAATCTATTTAGTCCTCTTGTCTGTCTTTTTTTTTTTTTTTTTTTTTTTTTTTTATACATTAGAAAGATTCACATTCTAAATTATTTAAATCCTATTTAAAAAAAAAAAAAAAGTGGATTGTATGAGCTTGGTTTTGTAACTGACACTTTTTTTTTAAGAGGGAAAAAACCAACTTATTTTTTAGGAATAGTTGATGTAACAGTTTTCTGTAACAAAACCAAAACGATGCTGTTGCAGTAATCACTGAACTGCTACTGAGTATCATCAGGAACACTTTATCACCTGCAAGAATTCACTTTATAATGGATACACTCTTGTTCTAGAGATTAGTCCGATAAGTACCTAAAAGTATTCCTACAGTTTTTAGTATCATCACAAAGAACAATGGAAAAAGCAGAGTTAAACCCATGGAACATCCTCCCAGAACTCTCACACACCAAAGAACAAGACACATACTCACTAAATAGCCATTGCAAACCTCTGTGTCTCAGGCATGCAGGCCTGGGCCCCTGAAGGAGTGGACCTCTTTCAGCTGGGATGGTGTGACTGTCAAGGCTACAGAGATGCTGTAGCTGTTCTTTTGAGGAGAAATTTGAATAATTTTCTGCTTGTAATTTATTGAAGATTTTCTCTGTCTGCATGGTTGGTTGTTTCTGCATGCTGAGGACATTCCACTTGTGCTCTGGCCAATCTTTTCTTCCGTTCTGACGCTATGAAGAATCCCCTGATGCCATTACCACTGCTTCTTTCCCAAATTAACTTGGGAGACATGAAAGTAAAAAGTCCTTTCAGAAAAGATCCCATCAGTGAGAGATTCCAGAACAAGATTCACAAGTGTCATTTTATTTTTCTTATAGTATGTGTTCAGTATATTTTGCAGGACTGAAAAGTAAATATTCATAAGCCTTATTCTGTAGGTCGTTCCAATAGCTGTCTTGGAATTGCAAGTAAATACTTTCCTTTTCAAGTAGCTGATGTACACTGAATTGTAATGTAAAAACTTCCATGTACTTAATTTTTTTTTTTTTGTGCACACCTGTAGAAAGCCTATGCAACCTTTTTCTTTCTTAAATTAGAAATGTTCAGAAAGAAAATTTATACCTTTATCATTTAAAAGATGCTCTGGCAGTCTCTTCTGATTTGCCTTCCTTTCATAATTTGTTAATTTAAAATGAGAATGCTCATGAATAAAAATTTGTTTCATTTAGTAGTGGAATGCCCTTTCTCTTTCCATGGAAGCCTTAGTTCAGTGGTGTCAGTCACTGACTGTCCAGGAGCTGTGTATGACACCTGAGCATGGTTCCCATGGAAGTTTGCTAGGTTAATCCCGGTTTGGTGCCAGGCTTTTCCACCCTGCTTATTCTCCCAGACACTCTGAAGGTAAGTTCTTTGGTTAAATTGGATAGCTCTACCCAGGGAAAACAGAGCTGGGCAGCAACAACAGCTTTAGGAAAGGCTGGGGAACATCTGCTTCATTTTGGCAAGTAAAAAGGAAATAGGAAAAGGTGTACACTTGTTTCTGAAAATCCCATTTCATTTAATCTTTATCACCAACAGAGATTCTTGATTAGAACCTCTTAAAACGCACCTCTACATTACTGCAGCATTGGACACTTGCGTGAGGAGAAAAAATGTTCTTAAAGGAATCACACAGATCGTGGTCAGCATTTTTCAAGTGTTGAATAATGCCCTTCTGGTTTTCTTTAAACATTCATCCAGTGTGCTGGAAACAATCTTGCTGGAACACTTTGTTTTTATGCAAAACGGAAAACAACACTGCCTGTAAATAGGGCAGGAAACACTACCCAGCCCTGTTCCTTGCCTTCCATGGCATTGCTTCAAGGCCCCATCTTGGAGCAGTTTATCCACTTGGGTTAAAGATGTGAGGCCGTTTTAGTCACAGCCAAGTATTATTATTTCAGCTTTTACTCCTGATGAGACTGGTATGTACCAGGGGCTCTGTCAAAGCATTCAGTGGCTTTTTCAAGAGTAAATCTATCAAGACATTAATTAACAACTTTTCTCCTTGTTATGAAATTACTTCTGCAAGTCAAAATATTTCTTCTGGGATTACCAACAGCACTGTCTGCCTCACTGCTCCCACCAGTAATGATTAAGAAATTCAGAAGCTATGCAGTCTTATTGAGTTCTAGACACTTGCAGCTTTAGTTCCTTAGCAACTGCTGACCTGAGCCTGGCTCACTTGTCTTTTGTTGTTTGGTTTTATTGTTTTGGTGGGGGTTTCTTTTGTTTTTTTTACTGTTTTGTGACAATTATTCTTCAAAATTTGACACAGTAGAACAAATAAAAGGAAAAAGGATGGCTGGAGCTAAGGAAATAAACTAGTCTGGGAATTGTGTGTGAGATGAAGAGGGAAGATGCTGATAGTGTTTGCTGGTAGAAGCGCTGTTCAGTTCTCCCAATGAGGCAGGAGTGAGTTTAGCTGTTTGATTCCATGGTCCAGCTGTAAACATACCTGGTGTGCAGATTCCTGAGGAACCAAGGAAGGTGAGACAGTGCCAGTTCTTCTTTGTAATGCTGCTTTTTCTATGTGGATGCCTCAATGACTCCCAACTTTTTATTTCATTTTAACTGCAGAACATTGGCAGAATCCTTGAAGTCACGTTAGATTTAGGAAAAAAATAAAGCTCAGGTAAGTAGTAGGCAACTTCAGGCCCAGGCTGGCTGGGATCCCTGCAGTTGGCTTATTTTTATTTCACATGCCTCAGATTCACTTGTTTCTGCTGTTAAAGAAACGCTGCTACCTAAGGCTGAAGTCAGTCTGTCCAAATGTAAAGTTACCTGAAGAGGGGAGGGCAATCCTGTATTTCCTTTCTTAAAACAAGGCTGAGTTACTGCCAAGCCACAGACTGACTGGCAGCCTCTGTCCTGCTGCCTTTCAGGTGCTCTTCCAAATGTTAGATCCCTTATTTCTCACCCATGGTCAGGATGCAGATTGGCTTGGAAGCAGCATGACACTAGGAATCGTGCATCACCTCATCAATCAGCCCTTCTGCTGGTGGGTGAGCAGCTGTAGCAGCTTGAGGAGCTCCAGATGCTGGAAGGAGTTGCTGTAATGTGTGGTTGGGAAGGCAGGCTGCTCTTCCCTGGAAATATGACAACCACCTTAATTTCATCACAGCAGAGGCCCTGGATTTGGTTTAGTTTAAGCTGGAGGGAGTTAAGAAGATGCTGTGGCTTCACTACAGCAGCATGTTACCAAGTTAATCACAACAAAACTGACACAACAGCCTTAACACAAAACTTGAATTAACTTTATTTTCCCCTACAGTTGACAACTGGTCTGCATTGAGCTTTAAAGCAACAAAATAAAATGAAATCTCCAAACGGCGGGGGCCAGAAATCCAGATTTAATTACCTTTGTGAAAATGTTGCAGCTGTAGTATTGGTCTGTATAAACCACTGGAGTCAAAAATGAGTTCATAAATCAAAAAAATATTCTACACCTTGGGAAAGAAGTCAGCAGTAACATTCTCACAGAACACTGTAAATTTACATTTTCTTCATGAAAGGTACATACTATTCTGCTTTTTACATCAAG